CTTAATTCATTATCGTATTTGCTTCCTCAGAGCAACGTAGAGCATAGGTTACGCTTGTCTATAGTCTTTACATAAAGATACGATGCAGTACAATTGTAGACAAATTACTTCTCAATTTGCCGGCAACCCCACACGTCACATCATAAGAAGAACCTTATCCCTCCTTCTCTGCATCTGCTGCCGCTGTTTCTTTACCCAAGGTTTCATTGGCTGCTAATTACACTTCTTTTCCGGTTGTTCATTAGTCGACGCCTGTCGTGCCTCCAGCTGTCACACCAGGTGTCGACGTTGGATCCGCACCCAGTCTCACGTATTTTCGCCAGGGCGGCCTATCTTCATCTGGAAATTTGGAGAGAGCCAGTCCATCTATAAGTGCTTCATCAGCCGCTCAATCCGACTTGCGCAAGCCCAACTCTCGCTCAACCCATCTATCCCCATGCCATTCTTGCTCTCCTAGGCGCCTCCTTTTTTTGAACTTCCCGTGCCATCTGCATCTGTGTCTGCTGAATCAGGATCCTCGAACGGCGAGGAGACGAACGCGCCTTCCGACGCTTAGCAGTAGTCGTCGCTACTGCTGCTACTGCTATGGACGACGAGCTGATGGGGCTACCTCCCGTTGATACTGCGTCACCCACACCTGTCGACACGCGTCCGACGATCGCTAAGCTGTTGTAAAGTCAAGAGATTATTTGGTGCGATAAAGCCGTGATCGACGCCTTACGCAATTGCATCAAGACACCTAAGCCACTCGCGTGTGACATCGATTCGATCGAGCGCCAGTACGCTGCCCGGCGTGACTGGTCGTTTGTCTCCTCACGCATAGATCAAGCGCGACCTTATGAGCTGCCCCGCGCACGCTATGACATGGTGATTGACACGGGACGCACCTTCGCAAAGCCAGCACTGCAGAAGATCATGGCGTCGCTGACTGGTTCACACCACGGCAACGACGCGCTTGAGAAACTGCATGGCGAACACGCGATTGGTCAAGTGTCGAAACTCCCCGGTGGTAGTCTTCGCCTCAAGGTGAAGGCCAAAGATTCTTGCTTACAGCTTTAACGCACGAAGGTGAATATCACGGCGGCATATTCATGTTCAACAAGGATGACATTCTCGCGGGCAAGTACTTCTTGGACATCTCGAACGTCAACTCAGACACGAAAACGGATACGATCCTGCATCGGCTTTTCACCATCGGGTGCAAGCCGATCTATGACACGTTTCGCGAGGTTAATTTGACAGCTGGCATGACCTTGGTGACGTGAAGAGTGTACTTCCTCTCGAATACTTGTCCTCCGCCACTTGTAGTGAACGGCTCAGTCTATGACCAAATACTGTTTGACAACAAACTACACCCAGCTCAAGGAAAGAACGCGCCGTACCAGTCCGAGCGTTTGCCATATGGCTACCACTCACTGCACGGTATTGATCTGATCACAAGCGATGACACCTTCCCGCGTCCGGATCCTCCAACTGAGCCGTCGCCGTCGCAGACGACGAAAACGCCGGGAAATCAGTCAAAGATGCACGCACAAATGACGACGAGCGGCAAGCCGTTGACCTTGCTGCAAATGGCAGTCGAAGAGACTAAGAAGCACAATAGGAAGCTCCCCCACGTAGCTCCGCATGGCTTACCTACTGGTGCCAACCAGATCACCCAAATTTTGAGTGACCGAGACGATGCGCTTTCAATCTCGATGTTTGATAGCTCAAATGGTAAGATCTCACCATCCGACAGTCCAATGGGTAAGATAAAGGCGCCGCTATTGCTTTTGACGAATGGTAATAGCTCGGACGGTTTCTCGATGGTCCAGAACAAGAAGAAGCGCAGCAAGCAGATTGTACTGTGAATGTGAAGCGACTCGACGCATTAAATACCTCATCTGAGTCGGCTCTCTTCATTGAAAAGCACCACACCATGATAAAGAAGGTGGCAAAGGCAACGCCGATTCTCGAGATAACTGAGTCTATGATTAACGGCGAGAATACGGCACAACTTGACACGCTGCCTAACAAGTTTGCTGAGGCAGATGAAACGTTGCCTAGCATGATTAGACTGATTGAAGATGCAGCAAACCCGGATCATATTGTGAGGTCGGCTGCTGCTTGTTCGCTCGCATTTTACAGTGCGTTGTCGCTTGCGATGACAACGAAGACACGACGTTCTTGACAAAGTGAAAGCGTATCATGGGAATGGCTGTCCAGTCGAATCGCCATGACGTTTTCAAGGTGTGTGTCAGGTGGTGGACCCATATGGACGAAGTCACGGAGCTGTCAGGTGCGTCGAAGGCGCTCGGCATATTTGAGCTCGCGCTCATGTCGATCGCGCCAATACTGCTCAAAACTGATCACTGAATTTAGTACCTCACTGGTCAACCGGTCGAATGGATCTCAGCTCATCACTCACGTTTCCTGCACCCGAACACACTACTGCTTTTGCTTCAGTCGGACATTGGCTTGCTCTGTATGCAGCAGTGACGAGAAGTGCAATGGCGAGGTCATTTGCTTGGTGACTTGGAAGCGCTGCGCAAGCTCGATCGATGTTACCCGGTCGAAGCATCGATGCTAAAGCTTCACGTGGACACCGATGGTCTGGTGGATCCAGCGTCGGGCGGCTTATCCGCTTGCTGCTAAAGTTGTCTCGGCAGTACACCACGCCTGGAACGCCGTGTCTTTGATGACCGTGAATACGAATGGTATTAAGAAGAACGGACACCTGTTTATCAACAACCTTCGCTCGAAGCACTCGATATCGTGCGTTCAAAGAAATAGTTTGGCAGCGCATCGCATCTTTCGACCTTCAGCTTTCATCTCAACTCAAGCTTCAAACACAAACTTTTCGTCAACGACTCAAGCGCGCTGTTGAATCGACCCACGAATGGTCGAAGCAGCGGCGTCCTGACGCTTCTGCGCTTCGATCTTCCCGGCTTTGATACGGCTGTTCAGCTATCGCGACAATCTGTGCCGGGACGCTACCTCGTCGTGAAACTGATGGTCGAACTCGCTCCCGTCTATATTCACAACGTGTATGCGCCCGTCGATCGACAAGAGAAGCAGAAGTTCTTCGCAGATTTGCCAACCGACGAGTTCGAGCACGACCCGACGCACTTTGTGCTTGGTGACTTGAACACACCACTCGACCCAAGATTGGACGGTTCGAAGCCCGATCTAAGCTACGACCCGAGTGGCTCGCGAAACTCTGTGTCGTCGATTCGTCGACACCAAACGCGTGTTCTTCGGTCCACTCCCGCCAAAGAATCGGCTTGACTACATCTTAATGTCAGATAAATTCTGCGACCGTTACTATGATAAGTCCGGATACTTCCTGTTTAAACACGCTGGTGATCACCTTGCACACAGCGTCTCGCTCCGCTCGCGCACGCAGCTCCACGGTCGAGGGTACTCGAAGTTTTTCTGCCACCTGCTTGACTATCCGAAGGTTGTCTCTGCGATCGAAAAGAAAGCCGAGCTCGTCTGGAATCAGTTACGTGCTGCTCAAAACCCCGGTAAAATTTGGGAGACGTGGAAGGTGAGCATCAAGGCGCAGCTGCAAGGCGTGCAGACGGTGCTGCGACGGCAAGATTTGCAAAATGTTGAAGCCGCCCGAGACGCGCTGGATCAAGCTGCCGAGCGGTATCGCGTATCGTCAGACGGGGAGATCAGTGAGCTCTTCGACGAAGCGATGCGTAATTACAAGGAGACGGTGCTAAGATCAAGCCAGTACAGCCAGGACAATGCATTCGACTTCCAAGCATCAAACTCCGAACGTTCCACCAAGCGCTTTTTTGTCCATTGGACACAAGTTTACGGCGTGCCTCCATCGAGGAAGCCATGACACCGAGTGGAGATGTCTCGACGAACCCTCAAGAAATCTCACTGCGATTCTTTGAGCATTGGGGCTCCGAGACGCGGGATGCCAATATTTACCGACTGGAATGGCGCCTTCACCCAATGACGGCAAACAGCGCCAGCTTCTTAACTCGGTCTTGCGTTTTGTCACAGACTCCGACCACAAGATGCTTGACGCTGAGCTGACAAGAGCGGACCTCGCTTGTGCGACCCGGCATATGAAGGCGACATA